TTCAATATCAGAATCCTAACAAATATTGAGCTGATATTATACAGTGTGATTGAGAGATTGAAATTCGTGTGCGAAAACCGCAACTAAGGCAGCCGTTAATTTTGGTTAAAATTAGAGTTTGAAATCCTGCAACAAGCCACGTGTCTGTCGCAACACGTGAAATTGAAAATCATGAGATGAAGCGTGAATTGGGGTCAATTTTCTACAAAGCCATCACCCTCATGATATTTTAATTGGCTATTTCTAGTAATTAACATAAACTAATCCCAACTGTTTTCCCTAATTACAAATGAGAAGTTCAGAACAAGTTTATGTGTTTAAGTTTTTATGGTCCGTGATCACTTTTTAGTACTTTATAATATAATTGTCAATGCATATTTTTACTTTAATTTACCCATAGGTGTTGATACTTTCGAAATTATAATTATAAAATATTAAGGAATTCTAATTGCGCTAATTAAGGAATTGAATGAGTAAGTTATTTATTTTCATTTATCTCTTTTATGAGTCAACGTTTTTTTGTATGGTAACTGAAATCAAGTAAATCTCTAATTAATTCAATAGTTTTAAGTACATATACAATTAAATTTATAGTAGTTGTAAAATTATAAATAAATCTAAATCTTGTAGGATAGATGAAAATTTATCTAGAAATAAGTAACAAGCTACTTTGTAGAAATTTTCAGGAGTCAAATCAGTAGGTATTGCATTCTGGGCCATAATTACTTTTATTTCCATTGCAGTTAGCCTGATAAGACATTGGGCCATGAGCCCATTAAATGAATCTATTTTCCAAGTAGCGGCCAAGAGTGCCCCTAATTGCTAAAATGAGCGGTCGGAACCGATGATATGTTTCGGGATATGACGGGATAAAGCGCCTTGCGATTGTTAAACATGAGACTTGGAGAATTTCGAACTTTTCGAAATTGAACAAAAAATTAAACGTTGACCGCATGACTTTTTCAGAATCGAGAAATAATTGGTACGGTTCTACAGATTCTACAAATATCTGTACCGAGAACCGAATTGGACAATCCCATACCATACAAACCGAAACTAAGAACCGAATTATAATATTAGATGTGTGTTCACATATTTATATCAATTTAACTATTTTATTTGTGTATTTTTAAAATACTAAATAACATATAGAAATAACTTCATTTAAATTTTATGCTTAGTAATACTTGAACTACAATTAATTTTCTTTTTATGTTTTAAAAGATTATTTATATTATATTTGTTGATACATTTCTTAACCTCATTCTATCTTATAACTAAAATGGTATGAAAGATCAAATAATATATATATATATATAATATATATTTATTCTCAATTAAATTTTGAGTTACTTCTAAAGTTGATTTCAAAATAAAATAATTAATTGGTGAAGTATTGTTGAATGTTGAATTTTATTTTAATTTTTCTAAAAGCATATAAAAATTTAAATATAACTATAAAGTCATTCAAAAAAAATTTAAAAATATCTAGAGTTCCAAACTGAATCAAAAACAAATCGAACAATTCCAATAGATTTGAGTACCGAATCGAACCGAAAAATAATCATCTCCGAATCAAATCATTCCAACTTTTTACACAATTCCAGAGATTGGACTTTTTGGTACTCATTGACTGCCTTTTCTAATCCAAATACTATTGTAGACATCTAGATATTTAAAAATCCAATTCAAATAGGCAGCGGATTATATTGGTACAAAACCATAATCATAATTTTCACAATATACCATAACATAAAACAACAACCAGCTTTATTTATTATTAGGGAAGAAAGTCTCGAGAGTTGACCATGAAATAGGTCCTCTCTACGTACATTCTACAACGTTTATTTAACTAGCTCTTTTGCTACACCACTCATCAGTATTTCACTTTCGAGATACAAAAAAATTGTGTCCCAAATAACAAAATACCTTTAGGGGTGGTTACCACCATACAAAGTAATTAATTTATTCATACTAAACGAGCCAATAGTTGAACCGTCAAAAATTGACGTTGGAAGTGTAGGTCGTGAAGCTATAATCAGCCGGAATAACGTTTTCGGCCACCACGGTTTTCGAGGAGTCGGTCAACTTGAAGGAAAACGGTGGCGAAATCCCATTGAGGTTAGCCTTCCACACGGCACCCCAAGACAAAGTCATCGGGAGCCAATCACCATTCGTGTTGGACTTCCTCACGGCGACACCTGTCAGCCCATCGCCATCTTCGTATTCGATGGCCACCGCGAGATAGTTCGAGTTGGAGCCCGGGTCAACTCGGAACGCCACATTTGTGCCCGGAAAATTGCACGGAACCCTAGTAAATTATAAATAAATCTCAATTCAAATATATAGTGAGTAATAATATATAATAACAAGGTCGTTCATTGTAGTGATATATATCAAGTAAAATATAGTCAGTATCTGTTACGCCTAATAACCTTTAAAATTTTGGGGTTATTACTCAAATTCGGCCAAATTCGATAGTTAAATTGGAAAATATATTCAGTATCTTTTACGCGGGGCCAATAATAGCTGTTGAATTTGGTCGGACTTGGGCAATAATAACCCCCGAAATTGTAAAATTTGTTGGCTACTATTGCAAATTTGTAAAAATAGTGACTTTAATACTATATTTTGTAATTAAACCTTAAGGAATAATGTATAATAACAATGTCATGCATTATAGTAATGTCAAGGATAGGTGTGATGTTTGTAAATATATATATATGTGAATGAATTCTTACGATTGATATTGAACATTGATGATTCCTCTGTCTTGAAGTTGTTGTTCTTGTCCGGGATTAGCCATTTGTCGAAATGAAGTGCCGCTTAAATCGAACAAGTGATTACCACCGCAGCCGGGGCACTCATCCGTTATTACCACAGTCACCGGTTTACCAGAACAATATTCCGAAGTGCATTGTACCTATTTATGGGAAACAAAAAACATGAAAATTAACAAAAAGTACTATTCATAAAAGAAAGAAAGAAAGAAAATGGTTGTGATTTTCCTTAATAAAATAATTATTTTGATTACCTGGTAACATAAACCGCAGCCATCGCCATTGTTGTAGAGAGGAGTCGAAGCTGCAGTTATTAGAGAAGAAAACGGAGGCTTCTCGACCGCGGTTTCATACCCGCACGAACCACCTTAAATAATAAATTGTTTCAAACAAAAATAAAAAAAATAAAAAAAAATAAAAAAAAAAATATATATATATATANATTATGTGCTTGTCTTCAAAATCTATGAATTTTGTTCAAAGTTTGAAATATATATAATTAAATGTACTGTGGTATACGATTTTTGGCATAGGATGCATGGTGTTTCTAACTTTAAACGGACAAAGGTATTCGACTAGAATGAATATTTCCCACAATAATAAAATTAAAGATGATGGTAAACTAATTAATTAATGAGCTAAAAAATGAGTCGTGCATGAAATCGAGCTTAACAATCGGTTAATAATATAATCGCACAATTCATGATCGAGTTTTTTCATGCACGAGTTATTTGTTTTACCGTCGCTTCCAGCACCGGTCTTCTCTCCATACCAAGTTGCTTGGGTAGTTGCCCATCCCCCCGACCCTGAACTCGGGGCCGAACCGTTACTCGGGGATGGAGGTGGGGTCGAACCGTAACTCTGGGGTGGAGGTGGGATCGAACCGTAATTTTGGGGTGGAGGTGGGGTCGAACCGTAACTTGGGGATGTAGGTGGGGTCGAACCGTAACTCGGGGATAGAGGTGGGGTCAAATCGTAACTCGGAGGTGGTGGCGAACCCGAACCATACCCAGGGTTCGAACCGTAACTCGGAGGTGGTGGCGAGCCCGAACCATACCCAGGGTTCGAACCGTAACTCGGAGGTGGTGGCGAGCCCGAACCATACCCAGGGGTAGAACCATAACTCGGAGGTGGTGGCAAACCTGAACCCGAACCATAATTCGGGGGTGGACCATAAGTCGGGGGATTACCCGAACCAAGAGAACCCCAACCCCAATCTTTGGAATCTTTGGGATTGAAGCTGTGGCATGAGTTGAATAATAAGACGGAAAAGAAGGCCAAGCAAGTTATCAAAAGAGAGTAGTAGTTAGCCATTTCGATGGGAGAATAGAGTTTAAGTTAAGAGTGAAAATGAGCTAATTAATTAATTGTGAGTGCTTGGGATGATGATTCATTTGTGCTTCGGTAATCACTATTTATAGATCCAATTTAGTTGATTAACTGCATGCATCAAGGATTGATTTACGATAAGGAGTTTAGATTAGAGGTAATACTTAATTTCATCAAAATGCAGAGTATAATGTTCAAATGTCATAAGCTCCTCTTTTTTAGTGTTTCTACGGGTCTAGGTTTAAACTTTTTAACTTCTTTTATTAAATGACCATGTTCATCCTTTTGAGCCTATAGCCATCTATAACTTTATTGCGAATAGTGATTTTTTGGCTTAGGAATTTAGTATAAATTACACTTAATTTAACTCCGTCTGAGAGGCTGAGTAGCAGAAGTACAATCTTTCAAGATCATTGATTATGGATATGATATTTAATTTCAACAAATTGCCCATATTAATTCATGTACAATTTTTTTCTTAGTAAAAATTAGATCATTTACTAGTAAAATTATTGTTAGGCTAGTCCAATGTTTAGTTATATATTTTTTTTAAGAATATATGATAGATCGACTCACTTAATGGTTATACCGTTTCACACGAGAAAATGTGATATAGATCTAACATATATCAAAATTTCACTATACCATTACTTCTTTAAAGCATGGCAATTTTTCGTTCAATGTATTAATCCTTAGAATTGGTTTTGAGCTGATAATACTGTTACTGAGAGGGGACACGTGTATGAAAAGCCGCAACTAAAATTGCCGTTAATGTTGGTTAAAAGTTACAGTTTGAAAATCTTGCAAATTAGCCACGTGTCTGTCGCTCTCAAACTGAAAACCATGACATGAAGCGTGAATTTAGGGACAATCTTTTCAACATAGGCGCAAGTCACTCTATCCATTCGCATGTGAATTTTTTCTTGTTTGTGATAATTACATAAATAATCCCCATTGTTTCCCCTAATTACAAATCATATATGCTATGCCATAGAATAGTTGGTCCATCATTAACTTGGTCAATTTGAAATGTTGACGCTCAAATCAAAAATAGTAATACGTAAATAATGTATTTGAGAGATTATTGAAGTAATTATAGTCCAAAATTATAAACATAAATCTTCTATTTGTAAGGGATAATGACACATGCCCCCCTAGAAAAAAGGTTTTCTCAATCCTCATGAACTCAAATCTTCAAAAATCTAACTGAATATCACTTAAGAATAATTTCAAATTAACATCATATAATTTCATAACGCAAAACCAAATTAGTTTTATGGATGTTGCATCAATATCTGTTAATATTATAATAAAAATGGTATATAATAGAAATACTAAATTTATAAATACATTTATCTTTATACATATATACTAGTACAGAGCCCGTGCAATGCACGGGGTGCACAATTTTATGGCTATTTATCCAGGCTTATAATTATATACATGAATAAAGAAAAATTTACGGGATACATATAGTACGTGACCCGTGCGAAGCACGGGATATATTTATTTGGAGAATATTATATTATAGGATGCAATATTCAATAAAAGTTTATAATACGCAAGAAAATTGTACAATGTTCAATAAAAATTTTATAATATTCAAGTGGAGTCTTAAAGTCTTTTGTACATTAAGACTACTGACAAAATAATATTTTAATCAATGAGTTTCTTTTCCTTGTAGCCAAATTGTGAATGTAATTTGAGGAGTACAACAAATCGACATATAACTTACTTGCTTTTTTCATTGTAGTTTTTTTTTTTTTTTATAATGAATTTAACGATATTCTAAAATATAGCAAAAATTAATTTTTTTATTACAATTAGAAATTTTACTAAATATAGACTCTCAATCTATGGTGTTAATCAACGTTTAAGTCTAAAAAATAATAGAGTCATTATAAGTTTTTTCTACATCTTTTAAAACATTAAATATGAGCATGTTAGGGCTAGCTTGTAAAATAATTAATATATTATCTCACTAAAACATTTATACTAATAAAAGTTCAATTTTAGCATATAAATTTATC